AGAGTTACTTGTTCCCGACAGTTGGATGGAAGTGGAGAGCATTATGCTAAGTGAAATAAGACAAGGGGCAAAAGACAAATACCATATGATCTCACCTATAAGTGGAACCTAATCAAGAAAACAAACAAGCAAGGAAAATATAACCAGCAACATTGAAAGAAAAAAGAAACCAACAGAATCAAGAGGGGAGTAGGAGGAGGGGTGGGGAAAGGAAAGGGAAGGGTCAAGTCAAGGAACATATGTAAAGGACCCATGTACAAAGCAAAAGTGGAAAAGGATTGAGTGGGGAGTTGAAGGAGGGAGACAGGGGAAAATGGTGGTGGGAAGGTGGAGGCAAAGGTGGAACAATAAAAAAAATACTCAGAAAAAATCAAATTAGTTCTGGAAGTCTCCCCAGTTTCTAAAATACAAAAATTCTTTCTGCTCCTCTTCTCAAATTTAATCAGATTCTGCACACACCCAGAAACTAGTGTGCTTTTTAGTTAACTCTTTGTCTCCTCTAACAATGATTTCCTTTCACTTTAGAGAAAGTTGTGCTTTGTAAACACCTGCTATACAAGCCCGGAGTAATAAGACCTTGGAAGAGTAAGAGCAAATGCTTTTCTTAATTTCTTTTCAAAATATGTGAGGAGAGAAAATATAGGAAGTAGAGAAGTATGTCACTCAGTGCAGTAGTCACACTGGACTAATTTCTCAGAAATATGGCCTAAAAGAATAACCATCATAGTAACCAAAGGTGGATATAATTAGAAATGAGAGCCTTTCACAAATCTCTAAAACAGTTCTTATAGAAGGTGAAGCTTAGAAAAATCTATGCAAAGGAAGAAAAAATAAAGGAAAGACAAAACTGAAACTTTGTGAAAGTAGAGAAAAAGCAAAAGATGGAAAGAAAAGAAGGTTGGAGAAGCAGAGAGGAATAAAACTGAGCATGGGTAGCCATGGGGCAAGGACTGCACTATGGTGAACATGTTGTATTTACAATTAAATTGAAGAAATGCTTGTCTTTGAAAAAAGGAGGTGGAAGAAAGTAGAACATCAGTGTTCTTACCTCTCTCCAAAAGGTAAACATGTGCAAATTCAGGCAATACAGAAGTTCACTGAGTAAAAAGTGAAAGCCTCTAGCCCTCAGCCCCACCCTCACAAATATGTACCCACTAACAAGTGAGAGAGGTGCAGATGAGGGTGCAGGTGGGAGGTTGTGCTCACCTAATATGAGCACCCACACTCTGATCTGCTGAAGGCCAGTCCAGGACACTTGTGTAAACCAAATGTTTTCAGCCAATGGCTTAAAAGAAAGCCCTTAGACCAGCTTCCTGCCCCGACAATCCTCACCTAATTCTCAGCAAATTTAAGACCTAGTGCCAAAAAAAAATTGTTAAATATCAACTTCCCTATTATAGTTAGTGGGCAAAAACAAAAACAAAACATATTTTTATGCATGGCTGAAATGTTAGGAATGTACTTGTAGCAATTTGGACATAGCACATGAACTTTTGTGAGGTACACTGAGTAAAAGTGGTAAAAAGCAATATATGAATGTCACTCTAATGACCAAGGTCAGCTGACATGTAGTAATGAAAGCTGACCAGAAGATTATCCCTGTTATGTCCCATTTATACTACTCTTATTTGTCCTAACTCGCAGAAGGTAGGGAGTGGGAAAGAAGGTGAGGATCGAGAAGAGTGGTGATAGACTAGTATTGTGCTTGGAGATAAATTAAGACATGTTGAATTTCCACAGGTATGTTAGAATTTCACACATTTTATAGAGAGATTTAGATAGTATTTTTCATATAGCTTTAATGTAAAATAGTTAATCTTGAAGAATGGTTACATGTAGCACTTTACCTATTATATAAATGATAAAAAGTACCATTTATGTAATAAACAATGAATAATAAATATTTATGAATAATAATAGACTTCTTTCAATTATAAGAAGTTCTATAATGTATTGTTTTATTAATAATATTTTATATAATAATTCTTTATGAATTATTAATGTATCAGTTTGGCCTTTAACCAAAGTATCTACTAGGTATGAACAAGGTAAGGGCTATACAGTCCTTTTTGTATCTCCCATATTATACATTTGTACAGTTAGTTTGTTAATTGGTTGGTCTACACCATACTTTGGTTCCACAAGAGATTTAAGATTCCACAGTGCCTTTCACATCAGAAATGCTAAATGACTTTCAACTGATAAACTGTGTATGTATATATAGAAAATGTGTACCAATTAGAGAAGTCATAATGTTAGATGAATATAGTTGAGTGACTCTGAATACCAAAACTCCTGGTAACTGAAATAGCTTTTATTTTAAAGATTTTATTTATTTTTAGAGAGAGGAGAAGGAAGGGAGAAAGAAAGGGAGAGAAACATTGATGTGTGAGAGATACATTTATTGGTTGTTTCTCACACACTCCCAACTGGGGACCTGACCCACAACCCAGGCATGTGCCCTAACCAAGAATTGAACCGGCAAACTTTTGGTTCACAGGCTGGCACTCAATCCACTTGAGCCACACCAGCCAGGGCTAAAATAGTTTTCACACATGCATATACATGTATTTTTTTACCCTATAGCTCTTCTAACAATAGAAGAAAACTGCAGAAAATATAAAGCCAAGCTGGGGTAGGTCTTATGAAGTGAGTTCTTTGGGGTCCCTGTCAGAGAAATGGATTTCAACCTTTCTATAATTATCCAAATTAACACAACAGAACATAGATGAGAATACTTGACTCAAGAAGATTCAGTCATCTCAACATAGCTGTCATCAGACTCCTTTTGATCCTAAAGGGAAAGAGTTACATACAGTTTTTCCTAGGGAGATAATCCTCTATAGTTAAAAGTCAGGCCACATAGGCCTTTATGTTTAATATGTTGTAATTGTGCAGGGCAGAGGTACCAAATGAACTCAATAGATAAAACACACTTTACTTAAGATAAAGAAGAATTTCTTGAGGAAACAATAGAATCAAGAATGTCACAGTAATTTAATGAAACATTAAATATAATTGCCAACAAATAAAAATAAAATATTTCATAATGCTCTCATTTTGAAATATTAGTTTATAAGTCATTGTTCTGTTGTTTGCTTTGGTTAAAACAGTCTTTAAAACTAATATCCCATATCTGTCAGCATGTACTAGATTTATAATCATGGCAGTTTACATGCAAAAAGCTGTCTAGGTACCAGTTGTGTGTGCAGTAGGCAGAAAACATGAGTATCATTGTGGCCCAAGAACCCGAAGAACTGAGCCTTACCCAAGGGGCCCTGAAGTAACATAGCTGAAGGTAGAGAAAGAGAAGCAAAGGCCCCAGCTGGTAAGATGGACCTTGTGTGAGGTCAGAGAACAAGTTAACAATGGGTTAACAATGTGTTAACAATGGGAACACAGTAGTGGGTTAGAACGGAGAAGTTGAGAAAAAGATAAAGCAAGGCTTCATGAGCCCTAATATAACTAGAACAGTTTAAAACTAAGGCTATGGATGACAAGATGGCTCAGAATATTCCCCATTCTCCCTTTTTAGTCACTATATTACCAACTTAATTTACAGTGAGATATTTATGGCTACACAGGACAAATATATATTTTATATATATAGTTGATCTTGTGTGTGTGTGTGTGTGTGTGTGTGTGTGTATTTGTTTGTCAGAGAAACCACTGTTACAAAGACCAGAAATACTCAAAGAAATGCTACATTCTCTCTGCAGACCAACATGAGCATCAGAAGGTGTCCTGGTGCAAAAGGAATCAGCCTGCGGGAGTCCAAAAAATAGGTTGCAATAGCTCAGGCTATGATAGTTTAAGCATGCATCAGTCTGACTGTTGGAATATCTTGTTCCCCAATAGATCCACATTAGGGGTAAATTTGCCACTGGGAACAGAGATGCAGGCTGGTGGTCCTATGGGATTCAAAAGTATGAAAAAGGGAGAATCAAGGCAACTAGGAGTTCAATTTCTACAGTCTAGAAAATACATAAAATTTTGCATTTCCTTTTTATAAATTGGAGGTTATATATTCAAAAGTAAAACTTTTAATAGATGACACTCCCAAAGCTCCTAGGCTTTGCTGTGGAGTCTATAGGATTCTATAGTCCTGCAATTTTCAACCTTTTTCATCTCATGGCACACATACACTAATTACTAAAATTCTACAGCATACCAAAAAAATATATTCTTTGCTGATCTGACAAAAAAAAGGTATAAATTTTATTCATTCACACTGGATGACAATTGTTGTGTTGGCTGTTGTCATTGTTTTTTCATTTGACAATCTAAGGGAAAAGAGGTCAGTGCCTCTGACTAAATAATCAGGAATTGCATGTTTTAAAAAAATCTTGCAGCACACTGGATAAAAATCATTGCTAGAGTGAATGCTATAGATAAAATGGTCCTGCCAGTTATAGATTCAGCCAAATATATGGGAGCCAAAACACTAGTTCAAAAAAATATATGCACCCCAATGTTCACTGCAGCATTATTTACAATAGCCAAGACCTGGAAACAGTTGATGAATGGATAAAAAAGTGGTGGTACATTTACACAATGGAATACTACTCGGCCATAAAAAAGAAGAAAATCTTACCTTTTGCAATGGCATGAATGGACCTAGAATTTATTATGCTAAGTGAATTAAGCCCATCAAAGAAAGACAAATACCATATGATCTCATTTATATCTGGAATGTAACCAACAAAATAATTTAAGAAACAAAAGAGAAACAGCAGCATAGATACATGGAACCGACTGACAGCTGTCAGAGAGAAAGGTATTTAGGGGCTGGTGACACAGAGACATGGACTACACTAAGGTGATAGTTGGAGGAAAGAGTAATGGGGGGAGGCAGAAGTAGGCAAAGGTGGGATAAATGGGGACAGGAAAAAGACTTGACTTCAGGGCAGATAGTCTTACATCGACTGCCTAAGAGTCACGCTGTAGGAAGCAACAACCTCTCCTTTTCCTCTCTGCCATCTGCTTGGCAGCCACAAAGCATGCGTGAGTGCATCTCCATCCATGTTGGCCAGGCTGGTGCCCAGATTGGCAATGCCTGCTGGGAGCTCTACTGCCTAGAACATGGCATCCAGCCTGAGGGCCAGATGCCAAGTGACAAGACCATTGTCAGGGGAGATGACTCCTTCAACACCTTCTTCAGTGAGACAGGTACTGGCAAGCACGTACCCAGGGCAGTGTTTGTAGACCTGGAGCCCACAGTCATTGATGAAGTTCGCATTGATACCTACCTCCAGCTCTTCCACCCTGAGCAGCTGATCACAGGCAAAGAAGATGCTGCCAATAACTATGACCGTGGACTCTACACCATTGGCAAGATCATTGACCTTGTCCTGGGCCAAATTTGGAAACTGGATGACCAGTGCATAAGTCCTCAGGGCTTCTTGGTTTTCCATAGCTTTGGTGTGGGAACTGGTTCTGGGTTCACCTCCCTGCTGATGGAGCACCTCTCTGTCGATTATGATAAGAAGTCCAAGCTGGAGTTCTCCATTTACCCAGCTCCCCAGGTTTCCACAGCTGTAGTGGAGCCCTACAACTCCATCCTTACCACCCATACCACCCTGGAGCACTCTGATTGTTCCTTCATAGTTGACAATGAGGCCATCTATGACATCTGTTGTAGAAAACTCAATATTGAGCATCTCACCTACACTAACCTGAATAGGTTGATAGGTCAAATTATGTCCTCCACCACTGCTTCCCTCAGGTTTGATGGAGCCCTGAATGTCAATATGACTGAATTCCAGACCAACTTGGTGCCCTATTCCTGCATCTTCTTCCCTCTGGCCACAAATGCCCCTGTCATCTCTGCTGAGAAAGCCTACCATGAACAGCTTTCTGTGGCAGAGATCACCAATGTGGGCTTTGAGCCAGCAAACCAGATGGTGAAATATGATCATCGGCATGGTAAATACATGGCTTGCTGCCTGTTGTACCATGGTGATGTGGTTCCCAAAGATGTCAATGCTGCCATTGCCACCACCAAGACCAAGTGTACTATCCAGTTTGTGGACTGGTGTCCCACTAGCTTCAAAGTTGTCATTAATTACCAGCCTCTCACTGTGGTGCTTGGTGGAGGCCTGGCCAAAGTACAAAGAGCTGTGTGCATGCTGAGCAACACCACAGCTACTACTGAGGCCTGGGCTCGCCTGGACCACAAGTTTGACCTGATGTATGACAAGTGTGCCTTTGTCCACTGGTACGTGGGTGAGAGTACGGAGGAGGGAAAGTTTACTGAAACCTGTGAGGACATGGCTGCCCTAGAGAAGGACTATGAGAAGGTTGGTGTGGATTCTGTTGAAGGAGAGGGTGAGGAAGAAGGAGAGGAATACTAAGGTTAAAATGTCATAATGGTGCTGCTTTTACAGGGAAGCTTATTCTGTTTAAAACATTGAAAAGTTGTGGTCTGATCAGTTAATTTGGATGTAGCAGTATATACTCATATACAATTACTGGTCTATGCTTTAACATGACACTTTGTTACAGACCCAACCAGTCCATTTCTCTGATGTGTTTGAATAAAGTATTCCCTGTCTTAAATGAAAAAAAAAAAAAAGAGAAAGACTTGACTTCGGATACTGAGTATACGATACAATATGCAGATGATGCTTTATTGAGTTGTACACTTGAAACCTGTATGGTTTTATTAACCAATGTTATCCCAAAAAATTCAACAAAATATAAAAAATAAAAAACTGTGAAAAAATTCTTGCCATATTCTACAACATGGATGAACCAAGAAGACATTACACTAAATGAAATAAACCAGTCACAAAAAGACAAATACTACATAATTCCACTTATACGAGGTATTTTAAGTAGTTATACTCTTGGAAACAGAAAGTAGAATAGTGACTGTCAGGGGCCAGGGAAGAGGAAAAGGAGAGTTGTTGCTGAATGGATATAGTATTTCAATTTTCCAAGATGAAAAAGTGCTAGAGATGTGCTGCATAACAAAATGCATATATGACCAAGATGGAGGCTAGGTAGATACACTTTGCCTCCTTGCACAGCAAAAAGGACAACAACAAATTTAAAAACAAAAAATAACCAGAACTGCCGGAAAATAGTACCACATGGAAGAGCAACAACCAAGGAGTTAAAGAAGAAATGCTCATCTAGACTGGTAGAAGGGGCAGAGACAGGAACCCAGGCATAGAGGATGCACAGCAAGGTAGCGGCTGGAGAACAAGGCAGGCAAGGAGGCGGCTTGCAGACTGGGCAGTCCCACATTTGCCTGTGGATAAACTGGAGGGAGAGCTGGGGAGCGAGACAGACCATACAATCCAGGGTTCCAGTGTGGGAAAAGAAACCCTCAAAACCTCTGGAGGAAAAAACCTGTGGGGGTTGCAGCAGCAGAAGAAACTCCCAAACTCACAAGAGAGTTCATTGGAGAGACCCACAGGACCATAGAATGCACGCAAACCTACCCACCTGGAAATCAGAAGGGCCCAATTTGCTTATGGGTAGCAGGGGAAGTGACTGTAAGCAGAGGAGAGTCAAGAAAGCAGCATTGTTTTCTCTCGGACCCCTCCCAGTTGTGACAGTGTCACAACATAGTGACCTGGGTTGCCCCACCCTGGAGAACACCTAAAGCTCTGCCCCTCCCAACATAACAGGAGCACTGAGACCAAGAAATATGGCCCAAATGAAAGAACAGATCAAAACTCCAAAACAGAACTAAGTGATGAACAAATAGCCAACGTATCAGATGCACAGCTCAAGACACTGGTAATCTGGATGCTCACTGAATTGCTTGAGTATGGTCACAAAATGGAGGAAAAAGTGAAGGCTGCACAAAGTGAAATAAAGAAAAATATACAGGACTAACAGTAAAGGGAAGGAAACCAGGACTCAAATCAACAATTTGGAGCAGAAGGAAGAAATAAACATTCAGCCAGAACAGAATGAAGAAACAAGAATTCAAAAAAATGAGGAGAGGCTCAGGAACCTCTTGGACAACTTTAACCTTCCAACATCTGAATCAGAGGAGTGCCAGAAGGAGAAGAGGAAGAGCAAGAAACTGAAAAATTATTTGAAAAAAATTATGAAGGAGAACTTCCCCAATCTGGCCAAGGAAATAGACTTCCAGGAGATCCAGGAAGTTCAGAGGGTCCCCAAGAAGTTGGACTCCGGGAAGCACACACCAAGGCACATCATAATTACATTACCCAACACTAAAGATAAGGAGAGAATCTTAAAAGCAGCAAGAGAAAAGGAGACAGTAACTTACAAAGGAGTTTCCATAAGACTCTCAGCTGATTTCTCAAAAGAAACCTTGCAAGCAAGAAGGGGCTGGCAAGAAGTTTTCAAAGTCATGAAAGACAAGGACCTACACCCAAGATTTCCCCAGATAAGGTCAAGTTAGAGAAGTTCATCATCATCAGGCCTTTATTATATGAAATGTTAAAGGGACTTATCTAAGAAAAAGAAGATCAAAAACTATGAACGGTAAAAAAGAGGGGAGGGGGAGGAGGCTGAATGGGGGAAAAGGTACAGGGAATAAGCAGTATAAATAATAGGTACAGAATAGGCAAAGGGAGGTTAAGAATAATATAGGAAATGAAGAAGCCATAGAACTTATTTGTACAACCCATGGACATGACCTAAGGGGAGGGCAATGCTGGGGGGAGGGATGGTATAAGGTGGAGGGGAATAAAGGGGAGGAAAAAATAGGACACTGTAATAGCATAATCAATAAAATATATATTAAAAAACAAAGTGCATATAGTTAACACTACTATGCTGTACATTTAAGAATGTTTAAGATGGTAAATTTTCTGTTACATATTTCAACATATGGTGATGCCTAGGAACTGGGTTTGAACAGAAGTAGTTAGTTGGAGAAAACTCAGGGTAGAAATGTATGAAAACATCATATTTTCTATGAACAGATGGGGTCACTAAACAAAAGTGTCTTAAGCCCAATAGCCTTATGATCAAGAAAGTACTCCTTAAGAGTACTGCTATGAAGAGGTTGTCATAATTCCCTACTCAATATCTCAAAAGCATGTTTCTGCCATGACTCAGTGCATCTTTAGGGACCAAAAAAAAAAAAAATGATCTCTCACATTTGTATAAGAAATATTGAGAGGCACTGAGGTGGAGTCAGAGTTACAAGACTGCCACTGCCACTCTCTAGCTTTTTGACGTTGGACAGTCACAGGTCAAAAAATCCACTTGTAAATGGAGATACTGGTACTTCCCTTTAAAGGAATGGTGGGAGGAAGTGGGACAAGCCCTATGGAACACTCAGCACTGTGCTTAGTGGTCCCCCCAAAAATGGTGATAGTGATTTGCCTCTTTAGACTCCAAGGCACTTTCAACACAATCTTGTATTTGACCTGAATAGCTTTGTCCAACTTGTCTAGGATAAGGGAATTTTTCTTTTCTAATTCCATTACATTAATTAGTCATCAGAAACTTCCATTCCCAGACTTATTGGAATAAATTAATTTTTGCACTAGAGCGAAGTGATGGATAAAGTGGAGCAAGATAACTCTACATTTTTTTTCAAGGAGGTTTCTCCATTTTCCCACAATGAGAGATCATTAAAATAACAATACAAGTGGCACCAAATTAATAAAATGTAGGTCAGTTGAACTTCTGTTACCTGTTTTTACTCAATTAAGGAATGCAGTGATTAAACTGCCAGAAAAAAAAAATCATATGCTTCTCCTAATATCCAACAGGTTCGGATTAAACCACATGCGGTGATCAAGACTAAGTATTGGGTGACACTGCCTATGTGGCTTAACCAAAATAATGATTATCCGAACCAAGTTGAACAACAAATCCCAAAGTGGAGTGACCTGTGCTTCTCAGGTTATATTTTTGTATGTGGGAAAATGTGAGCCACACATTATCTCACTGTCAAGGATGGGTTTACTTTATGGCCCGACTATTGCACTCTGTAGATCAACAGGTCAGTCTAAACTCCCTTGTGTGGGTCATAATCGATTATAGCTTTCCTTTGGACCTTATCTTGGCTGTCTGAAGTTAGACCTACTGATCCCATTTAGTATTATGCATAGTTAGCTGAGTCTGTGCCCTTGGTAGGGAGGGGTATGATTGAGGTAAAGATTGTAAGGTGGCCTCATCTTGCTGCTTGGAGTCCTATTGATACTAGCTCTGATTAAATGCTAGTTAAACAAATTAAATGAATTTTTCCCAGTCTCTGTAGTCAGATTAATCAGAGTGACTAACAAATTGACACACTCTTATAAAAACCCAAATTCAGCCAAGAATGTGTTATTGTGGGCCAATAGCTGGATTTTTTTTTTTTTTGGTTGATCAACTTTTTTAAATTGTTATTTAGAACTGGGATATATAAATCACATGACACTACACACTGATGTACTTATTACTTGTAGTACATTTTTAAACTTGTAGTCTACATAAAATTTCTGATAAATTCTATTTCATTATTTACTTATGATTGTATATGTTGCATTATTGAGCATCTGTGGCAAGAGAGAACTTTCTTTTCATTTTTTATTTTTAAAACATGTTTATTCCATTACAGTTGTCTCAATTTTTCCCTCTTTTCCCTCCTTAACCCACCCCACCCTGCCCCCCTCTCCCACAATCAATTCCCACTCTCTTGTCCATGTCCATGTGTCATTCATGTTCTTTGTTTAGTCCCTTTGTCCTCCTTCCCTATCCCTCTAGTCACTTTCTGTCTGCTCTTTGTTTCCATGCCTGTGGTTTATTTTGTTTGTTAATTTTGTTGAATAGATTCACTTATAGGTGAGATCATATGGTACTTGTCTTTCACTGACTGGCTTATTTCACTTAGCATAATATTCTCCAGTTCCATCCATGTTGTCACAAAAAGTAGGAGTTCCTTCTTTCTTTTCTTTTTTAAAAAAATGCAGATTGACTTTATTTATTTATTTATTTTTAATGTCAAAATCCATTATAAAAAATTAAAAATTTAAGTCCATTATAAAGTCTCAGCAATTAAAACAACATGACACCAGCACAGAAATAATCAAGTAAATCAATGCACTAAAATGAGCATTCTAGAAACAAATGTATGTATCTGCCTAACAATGTAATATATGATTAAATTGATATTTCAAATCAATGGGGAAAATAAGGCTTATTCAACAAATAAGGTGCATGGACCACTTTTACTTGTCATAAAACAAATATAGAGCCCTCCTTCACACATTATACAAAAATATTCAGGTGTATTAAAAATCAACATGTGAAATCTAAGTAGTTTTAGGAGAAAACACAAAATAATATTTTTCTTACCCTGAAGTAATATATTAAAACCCAAAAACTATAAAGTAAAATACTGACAATGTGACTACATTAAGCATCTAAG